AGTCAGACTCATTGACAAGGCATGTTGGTACATACAGCAGCTAAAAACCTGATAAGGGAGAAGAAAAAAGTATTCGTATTTTTCTTAGTGATTTATTTTTCTTTATTTGAAAGGTACAATTACAGAAAGACAAAGAAACCATCTGCTGGTTAATTTCCCAGATGGCCAAAATTGTTGCAGCTGGGCATTGCTGAAGCCAGGAGATTAGAATTCTATCCAGGTCTCCCACACGGCTGGCAAGGGTCCAAGAACTTGAGCCATCTTTGCTGCATTCCCAGGTGCATTAGCAGTTAGCTGGATTGGAAGCAGGGCAGCTGGGACTTGCTTGCCCTAGCATTCTGATGTGGGATACTGGCATTGTAGGCAGCAGCTTAACTTGCACCACTTGGCCAGTCTTAAAAAATTATAGTTTGTACAGATTTATTAATTTACTTGAAAAAAGAATTACAGACAGAGAAAAGAAAGAGAAAGAAAGGTCTTCCACCCAGTGGGTCTCTCCCTAAATGACTGCAACAGCCAGAGCTGGACCAATTCAAAGAAAGAAGCCAAAAGCTTCCTCCAGGTCTCCACAGCAGGTGTAGGGGATCCAAGCACTTGAGCCACCTTCCACTAGGTTCTCAGGCGCATTCTCGGGGAGCTGGACTGGAAGCAAAACAACCAGGACTCAAACAAGGGCTCAAACGGAATGTCAGGTAGCAGCTTCACCTAGTACCCCACAACACTGCCCCACCCCCCCAAAAAATCATTTTTAAAAATCAAATATAAGAACACAAAGCAGAATGGAATGTTAAGTGCACTGGTGAAGAAAACCACTCACATCAGTGATTTGAACGAACACCATGTTTGTATCTCATGATGCCCAAGACCTGTGCAAAAGATCTCTGCTTAGGAAGCATGTGGTCCCTTTCTTAGTTCCCTGTTCCCTGTGGGGTCTGGATAAACCTTCCTATCCCACCTATCAGACAGAAATCACAAGAACTGGGGCAGAGGGAAAGTATCTAAACAAGCTCTGAAAATCCTGACAGTTTATGATACCTAGCATTGAGATGGTACTAAAAACACATTATTTATATATATATATATATAGAGAGAGAGAGAGAGAGAGAGAGAGAGAGAGAGAGAGAATGAAGCATGTAATATATCTTAGTCCATTTCATTTTACATGGCTATGTAAAAAAAATAACCACTTCTCTACAAACAGAAAATTAACTTACATAGTACCAATTTATGCCCTCCTCAAAAATGTCACATCTTTAAATAATGTAACTCTTAGTAAGAGAAACAGATTTACAGAAAGATTTCAGCTGCTCTTTGGAAACCACATCAGTTATAAAGCATTTCTCCTGACAGGAAAGACATTTCCAAATGAGCAAAGATAAAATATTTCTAAATGAATACTCATACTTGAAAATACAGCAAGAAATATATATGCAACTATTACAGTTACAGTCTGGAGGGCTACTTTCAGCGCTCCAGGTCATAATCGCCGGCGGATTATGAAGTCAACTTAGTGGGTCACTACCAAAAACATTTTTTAAAGGAGGATGTAAAATATGAGTTTATTACATAACAGGTACCAGTGCTGTGCGTGTATGAACACGAGCACTGGGTGAGTAATTGGGTGTCTCTCGGGGAATGTAGTCATAAAGGTCAGAAAATCTCTGGGAAGAAAACCCACTGAAGCAGCCAGTTGGTTTCTAGACGCCAACTAAGGACTAACGGAAAGACTTTAAAAGCAGATGGTGATCACAGTGACCGGGAAATAAATTAAGGAAGTAAAGAAACCAGCTGTGACCACTCTGAAAAAGAAACTAATAAAGTGATTTCTCAAAGCAATCATCATGCAGTAGCAATACTTTTAGTGGGAAAAGAATAATATCAGTAGAATACTTTAAGTGGGAAAAAATTAACAACACCCCTTTTAATAATGTAAAAAAAATTATTTACAGAGGCAGGTGGTAAGAAAAGCAATGTAATGGGACTTGGGAGAATTGACATCAAACATTCTAGACAAGAAAACAGATAGTAACAGCCCATTTTTAACACACTGTTCCTGATGGATTTTACAGAACTTTGGCCATGAGCTAAGTACTTGGTTTATAACTGAGAGCTTTCATTTTCAGGAACAGCTTATCTTTTCATATGAAATTTATACAGTACCTTAGTAGTGAATTTTTATATAACAATCAGGGTTTTGTTGCTGGCCTATTTCTGATGTCTGAGCTTTCATACCCAAAAGGTCTAGGTGACCAGGTAAAAACTCCTCTTTGACAAGTACACTGTTGTCTAAGTGCAAATGGTATACAGCAAGTGCCTCATGGGCATAAACTTATATTGGTACCATGGCTCATTTAAAAGTCAAAAATAAGCAAACAATAACAGTGAGATAGGTTTATACTGCGAAAACAGCTCCAATCAACAATAAGCATTGTATAGGCCAAAAGAAAAGATATTCTCAAAATTTCCTTTTGTCCCTGTCCACACGGGGATCCATAGTGTAACAGACCCTCCCCTGTCCTGTAACCACTTCCTTACACTTGGAGCACACAACTGGAAGAGGGTTGCACTCTCTCAGATACACTGACACACTATTCATTTAGTATACATCATAGAGATTCTCTAATTAAAAATAAGCTACATATTATTTGACGAGCAGAGCATTCAAATAACGATGTCGTATTTGAGAATCACCTCTGGGATTATATGGAATCTTTCTCACTTCTAAGCAAAACACCTGTACCTCTTCCCATTTAAGCATGGAAAATAATAGCAAAAAAATATGTAAAATATATCCAAAGAGACATACCATCACAAGGAATAAAAACAGGCCCAACTAATCAAGCACTGACAGCTTTTTGACTCTGAACACTCTTACAAAACTATCCCAAGGAAAATTCTTTCTGCCTTTCAAATAAATGAAATTAATTTTAAAATTGTAAGAACTAAATTGTCTACACACATGCACATATACATGCATACATGGTCTCTCATCAGGCCACATCATAGTACAAGATGAGAGGAAGAGGTGGCGTGATATATCCATTCCGTGTCCTTTCTGTAAGTTCGCATGGCCTAGAATCCTCTCTTATTGTAAAGAATGGCCAATATCTACTTTGGAAAACATGTTCTCCAAATCAAACCACTCTGACTAAAGCAGGTGGACACAGGAAAATGCAAATGATGATATGCAGAAAGAGAATAAATTCAGCTGTTGCAGCAATTTTTACTGAACCTGATTGTCTTTTGACAATGTTATCTACCTCGGAAAAAACACAACACATAAACTATCAGGTACTTGAGTCTGCCACTTATTATCCAAAAGGTGATTTTATGACATGATTCTAAAAATGAAGTAATTTTAATTTGTAAACGTCACTTGGGGCATTAATTTGGATTAGGTTATATTGTTATTTACTTAAAAAAAAAAAGGCCCCAATGTGCCTTTACAGGCTGAATAACATAGGAACTGGGAAATGAATACAAAAATCTTAATGAGTAAGGAAGAGTACAATTCTCTATATGATAAATGTGTTAAATATGTGTTAAGACCAACAGAAGACATGGAGAAAATCCATTTATGTTATCACGTCCTAAAGTCAGCAATAAAGCTTTACACAAAACAGCAGCACCACAGAAAAATAATAAAGGATAAGACCAGGAACAGAGTGTATCAGTAAAAGAAAAAGGCAATCATAACCGTGCTGATAAATGTCTCTGTTGTGACTATTATATCAAAGAACACCACTTCTCACAGACAGTGAATGGGAAATTGGACAGACACTGCTGAAAACTCAAAACTCACCTTAAAAGGCTGAACATGAGAGGAAAAAAACGTTATCGGCCTCTACAGGTAAAACTGCTATAAATGCTTTTAAATAATTACTGAATTTCATAGGCATAAAGACAAAGACCTCTACAGCATAGAGGTCCTAACTGTTGATCTAAACACAGCTATCTAGAAACAATTTTAAATTACACATTTGCTGACTGCATCCAAACAAATATTTCTGGGTTTTTTTTAATATGAAATATATTCTGAAACATTTTTAAGTATAGCTGCAAGAAGAAAAAAAAAACTGTTGGATCTAGCATTGTGGCGTAACAAGTAAAGCCACTGCCTGCAATCCTGGCATTCCCAATGGCCTAGGAAAAGCAACGGAAGATGATGCAAGGGCTTGAGCTCCTGCTACCCAACTGGTAAACCCGAAGAAGCTCCAGTCTTCTGTCTGGTCTAGCCCCAGGCGCTGCGGCCAGCTAAGGAGGTGAACCAGCAGATAGAAGAGTTCGCTTTCTCTCCTCCTCCTCTCTCTCTCACACTTTTAAACAAATAAACAAATCTAAAAAATAATAAGCTAGAGCAGACACTGTGGCACAGAGGTTTCCACCCACAGCACCAGCATTCTGACTGTTCCACTTCTGATCCAGTTCCCCGATGATGTCCTAAGAAAGCCATAGGGGATCAGCCAAGGCCTTGAACCTCTGCACCTGTGTGGGAGACCTGGAAAAAGCTCCTGGCTCCCAGCTTCAGATTGGTCCAGCTCCAGCTGTTGATGACACCTGCAGAGTGAACCAGTGGATGGAAGATCTTTCTCTGTCTCTCCTCTCTAACTCTACCTTTCAAATTAAAATAAAACAAACCCTTAAAAAATAATGAAATAAAATAAGCAGTTTAGTACAGAATCAAAGTACAACTGTAAAATAAATCAAAATAAAAGCATAGGCTAATATAATTAATGCCTGGTATAAAAACAGAAAATTATCAAGGAGAAAAATGTACAGGTAAAACAAACAAATTATATAAATGAAATCGCATTCTAAAACAGTAACATTTATTTAAATGCCACAGTCATATCAACCGAAGAAAATTCAATGTACTTACGCACAAAAAAATACAGAAAGCTCACCCTAAATGTACCAGACTCAGGCAAACGATAGTTTTCTATAAGCTTGTCAATGATGAACCTCTGCACAAGTTTATACCTCCCCTTCCATCCACTCACCCAACATTTTCTGCATCTTCATCACATTCGGCTTTGTATTTGCAGGGTCCGCACTTCGAGTGTTTTCTGTGAGCTTCTGCCCCAGACCCTTCCTCTTCTGTTAGGAAAGACAAGAGAAATTTGCAACTGAGAATGGGGATTCTGTATCGATCAGCTTCATGTTTTCAGTAAGTACCATCAACTTTCTGGGGAAAATATGCCAAGCTTCTGAGAACAGTCACTTCAACAATCTATTAATGCCAGAACCCAAAGATGCTGCCAATACTGAATACAGCATATTCTTTAAGGAAAAATAATTGTTGCTAGTAAAAATAATGCAATGAACTAAGAACCTTGGAACAGGATGGAATTTTAAACAATTATTTTAAAAATTAATTCTGGGGCCCGGCGCGATAACATAGAGGTTAAGGTCTTCGCTATGAATGCGCTAGGATCCCATATGAGCGCTGGTTCTAGTCCTGGCAGCTCCACTTCCCATCCAGCTCCCTGCTTGTGGCCTGGGAAAGCAGTCGAGGATGGCCCAGGGTTTTCGGGCCCTGCACCTGTGTGGGAGACCTGGAAGAGGCTTCTGGCTTCAGATTGGCTCAGCTCCAACGACTGCGGCCGCTTGGGAAGTGAATCATCAGACAGAAATCTTCCTCTCTGTCTCTCCTCCTCTCAGTATATCTGCCTTTCCAGTAAAAATAAATAAATCTTTTAAAAAACATATAAAAATTAATTCTGCCCATAAGAAATATAACACTGAGTAAGAGAGAGGAAGGAACAGATTTAATCCTATGAGTTCCATCTTACTGGAACAAGACTGAATAATGCCTGTTGGTAAAAGCTTTTTGACTATCACCTTTCCTCACATGGTTGCATAGCTGCCTTTCTAATGACATCAAAACAAATTCCAGAGTTAATTTATAAAATTTATAAATTTTATAAATTTATAAAAAGGGGGCCTCTTACAAAGGATTTACCCCCTCTTTTCTACTTGACCACTTAACATAATCCGAAATACCCAAATGCAGAAGAGTATGGGTTTCCCATGACCTATGAATCAAAAGCAGTATACCTCACAGGTCCCCAACTTGCACTCCATATCTAGATCTGTGGGTATCAGCTAGACTGGACCTTACTCTAAGAAACTCAACCTGGGCAGGGAGATCATTTCTGGGGCCAATTTAAGCAATTTGTTTACTCAAGGAATTTCCCAATGCTGTCTGGTAAAGACAACTTATTCACGGGGTGCCAATCAGTGAAGAAGGCAATAGGAACGAAATGCACAGCTCTACCACACCTTCGGGGTAATCTATTCTCCAGTCCGCCATTGTTCTAACTCACGAATTCTCCCAAACAGATGCCAGGGATCCTAACACTAATCGTGAATAATTGTGGCACCAAAAAAAGCCAGCATTTACAGATGAGCTGAACAAACAACTACGCCTTTCTAATTCATGCTCCCAAATAAAACTGTCAATTTACATCCTGAGGGCAAGACTACTAGATTACCAAAGCAAATCACACCAGTCAACTCTTACAGATTCCTAAATGCATATGTGACCAATGGGGCTAAGCCCCAACGTCCCTTACATTCCTCTCTAGCTAAGACCCAGAATTTACGATTTGAGGCTTCATTCATGATTACAAACTTCTGCTCAAACATATCCATTTAAAACTAGATTCTTTGATGATTTTCTTTTTAGCTGACATGGTCATCCTTAAACAACTTCTTTGTGAAAATTCTACTCTCCAGCTGACCTTCAAAGGTGCTTCCAACTCTAAAGTTTTAAAATTATAAATGCTAGAAGGAGGGTACAGGAGGCTGAGGGTACAGTTTTCCGTGGTGGTGACGGGAACGTAATTCTAACTTGCTTTTGCACAAACATTGTTTTAACAGAATGAGTGTTCTTGGCCACAGTGGTCCTACATCATGTATCCTTTCAGTATCTCAAACATCAGATAATCACTAAGAATCATAACTTCATTAGGTCATGAAATAGATTAGTCATTCTCAACTCTGATCATCTACACTTTGCCATAAGCTAATACCAGATTAAATTTTTTAACTATCAAAAATAACTCACAGATTTATAGAGCAAAAAAATTTTTTTTAATAAAGCAGGAAAGATTTAAAGAATTATGGAGTTCTTCAACCTTGAAATTTTCACACAATGAAAACCTTGCAAGGAAGGGATGGGGAGAGTTACAAACACTCTAGTTCAAATTAAAATCAGTTTGGAGACTGGCCTAAGGAGAAGTCATCTGGTGTAGCCTCAGTTAAGTAGGCGCTACATTTTCCCCTTACTTTGAGAATAAACCTTTAGTGAAAGATGTCTAAAAACAAAGAACACCTAAAACAGACAAGCTAGGGATGACGGCCACGCAGTGATGAATCTGCCACTCTGTGAATATACATAACTTAATGATTGTACACAATCTCAAAATTGTTTTTAAAAAAAGTGGGAAAAAGACCTTTAATATTTAAAACTTACCTCCTTCTCCAGATCCTGAGCCATTATCTGAGAAGAAAAACAACAAATATGAATATTTCCCCTGAAAAAACTTCACCTTCTCAAATAGTAAAATTCATATGAAAAACAAAGCTGTAATATGCATCATCATTATAGATTTTTTTCTTCATAACTTTAATATCTACTGACTTATTCATATAAACTATTTCATTATAGCTTTCTTGAAATTTATATTACTTAGATTCATAATCGCCTATAACTCAAACAGCTTTATAGTCTAGTCAAGAAATATCCGGGAAGCTTGTGGAGTAAAGACCAATAAATATTATAAATGGCTAAGTAAAAAGAATTTATTTTAACTCCCTCATTTAAAAGGTAAAAGAAATTTTAATTTTATTCAAGAGTTAGAGGAATAATGATTAAGCTGCTTTCATTACAAAGTCAGAAAAGGAGCTTTGAGTCTTACCTTAAAATCTTCTTTATAAAATCTGATAAAGATCAAAGACCAAAAGGTAAGAAAGCCCCAAGGTTTTGGTAGGAAAAGAACCTTAGATTTGAGTTTTTCATATTACTAATGAAATTAACTTCCCAGAAGAAACCAAAATCAGAAGGAATTCTCAAAAAGAAGTTGGCCTAAAATGTAATTAATGTAAAACATTTATTTTACAATTCTAAAAGAATCATAGCACAAAATATGTTAAACAGACAGTGATGCTACAATATCATCAGGACAGAGCAGGTAGGAAAATAAGACAGGCACACAGGCCAGGGGAAGAACTTGACACATCATCCAGCTCTTCCCGCATCTGGAGCACCTACTCCAGTTCTTCAAGTTCTCCAGTGTAGAGCTCTACACACAATTACGCCGCTCCTTTCCCGTCAGACTCCTTCACAGTTTCAGTAGAAACAGGAACTACTAATAAAAAGATATACATATTGCATGTAGCAGCAACTGCAAACTCTTCATAGACTTTTATGAGAACCCTAAAATCATATGCAATTTTGATTAACCATAAAATGACATTTCACTGACAATAGGAAAAACCAGTGTGACGTGGCGGGGAAAGGCAGCAAGCAAAGCACTCAATACACACCAAATTTTTCTTAGGAAAACATTCCTTCCTTCTATCCCACATATACTGAGTACATATTATGTGCCAGGCACCATGGTAAACACTAGTATAAAATACTAAATAAGATGCATTCCTAAGGCAAACACACTCCAACCTTTCCTTCAACCCATATCCAATTTTAACATGAATAGCTCACATTTCCTTTTGCATATGTGATTCTGAAGAAAATTAAATACTATAACTACTCTGATAATGGGGTAGATTTTTTCCAAAATATTTTATTTTGTAGGTCATACTCACACTTTCCCCAGTTCATAAAACCCTATCCTGAACTCTGATGTGCTTCCCTTGGCAGAACAAGCTGCATTCCTATTGAGAAATCGCTGATCTGATTAGAGGCAGACAAGTGAAATACAGTATATGTTCACACACAAGGCATGAAAAAAGTCTCCTAATGTCACAAAAAAGATATTTCAAAGGATAAAAGCCTGAAAACCCAATCTTAAAGCATAAAAGGGCAGTTCACAAGTAAGCAAAAGACAGTATTTCCAACTCACAGAATTGGATGTATATTGAGATCAAATGGCACCAAAACCTTGGCCCATTCAGCAAACAACAAAATCAATAAAGCACTCCACTGCTTAGGTCATTCAAACTTTAACAACCCCAGGAGATGATATCTACTTTATGATCATGGAAAAACTGGGGCTCAGAGAAATAAATAAGAATTGGGATTCCTTCAAAGTCGGACCTTCTAACTCTAGTGCAATGCTCTTTCCAACCTACCAACCAGCATTGCGGCATGAGCAGGTAGAGTTGCCGCAGCCTGCAACACAGCAATCCTATGTGGGCACTGGTTGTGTCCTGTCTACTTGAAAATCCTGCTTCCTGCTCATCAGCCTGGGAAGGCAGCAGAGGCTGGTACAAGTCCTTTAGCCCCTACACCCACATGTAAGACCCAGAAGAAGCTTGTGGATTTTGCAGCCATTTGGGGAGTTTATCAGCAAATGAAAGACTTTTTTTTTCTCTCTCTCTAACTTTGCCTCTCAAACTCTTTAAAAATTCACTAGTAAAGCACTTGGTTCCTTAAGCAAGCACATGCTCTTCATGAATGATGCATAAATTAATCTGGGATTGGAAAGAACCCCTTCTCTTTAGTTTCTATACCAAGTATGTGAAATATAACATAGAGAAGTATGTAAGAACCACACCACATGGTAGTCTAATAGTCTTAAGAACATATAAGCGTCTAATTTTTAATGTGCAGTAAATATTCATCCTTGCCCCAAAAGAGGTCTGTCTTGGTCCTCAGCTTCAGGAAGATGATCTAAGTCATGCCCAGCAGCAGTGTTTTCATTAGGGGAAGAATGTTGACCACAAAAGGATTTAGAATAGAGACAGCCACATATCGTTGCCTCAGGGTAGGCTTACAACACTAGAGAGACCAATCATACAATCAGAGTTGGGATTTTAAGTCATATGATATTGGCAGAACCAGGATTAGAAATAAATACACGGACATTTATTCGGTATGGGATCAAGCATGGTGACACTTGCGTTAAGTAACCACTCAGGATGCCTGCATTCCATTGTCAGGTTTAGGTTTGCATTCTGGCTACTTCACTTCCAAACCACCCGCCTGCTAATTCATCCTGAGAGGCAGCAGATGATGGCTTTCAAGGACGGAAAACCTGATTTCTACTAAGAGCCATTTGGATGTTATTAACATCATCCACAGGCTACACACAATTATCAATCTAATTATCATCAGTTTGCCCTAGGCTTACTGAATTTTGAGTCCTGCCTGAGGTTGCCTTGGTAGGTACAGACCAAATAATTCTGCAAGCCTTATACTGCCTGTGGGCTGAATGTTCTCCATCTCTGATTAATGGCATGGGCCTCTGCTACCACAAGTGGGACCGGGATGGAGTTTTCAAGATCTTGGCTTCAACCTAGCCATCCCTGGCTATTGTGAGAATTTGCGGGGGGGCGGGGAATAAACCAAAGATGGAAGATTATCTCTTTCCCTGTTTTCTGTCTATCTCTCTCCTTCTCTGATATTATGCCAAGCAGATGAAAATAAACATCTTTAAAAGAGATACTTATGCAATTGAATCCCAATAAAAACTCAGATCTCAAAGGCTCAGGTGAGCTTTCCTAGTGAGCAGTAATCCAGATGTACTGTTCACACACCATGACCAGGAGGAGGTAATCCCATCCGTGACTGGTGATGATGCATGGATATCTGGAGATCATCACAAACTCCATGACTAGGTGGCTCCTAGAATCCACTGTATTCATCTCTCCAGCTGGCTGTCTCTAACATGTATGCTTTCCCATAATGAACCATAACCTGGATACCTTGTGGCAGACCACCTAACCCTGAGAGGCGGTCTGGAGATACCTCCTGAACTCAAGTGCCAGCAGTAAGGGCAGCCTTGGGCACCATTCCCTCTAACTTGAGAGTTGGTTCTGTAGTCTTCAGCTCTAGTAAGAGGGAGAACTTTTAGCACCACAAAATTCAAATATAGGGAAAGAAAGGAAATGGAAATCAAGCAGGAATAGCCTCCACTAATCCCCATTCAGTAATTTTATCTGCATCCCTACCCTCCGAATGCAAATCACAAAACTTACCAACTAACAGCAAAGCTTCCAAAAATCAATCATTATCAATTCAAGAACTTAAGGGAAGAAAATGCAAGCAGCTGGGGTGGAGGTGAGGCAAGCAGGCAAGCAGTAGCAGGTAGCAGGGAGAACAGAAGAGCTTGGGAAGAAACACAACCTAAAATGCTACCAAAGACTTTCTGCAGATATTCTTGACCACATTCCTCTCCACACCGCAACAGTTCATAATGCATCGCCTGTCATTTCCTACCCCAGATCTTATCCTGCCTAATGTTTAAACCCAAGGTTAGAAAGACAACAGTAAACAACAGTGAAAGACTCTAAGTCCTCCACATAATCATCACCAACCCAAGCAGCAGTTCAGGCCACATGTCCCACTCCTAACTGGAAAGCTCCTTTCAGAAAAACGTTTGTCTGGAATATCATACATACCGGAGTAGCACGGTCCTCTGGCCACTACTGTTATCTCTTTCTGGTGCTTACAAGCAGCTCTTCTAAGAAAACACTCATTTTGGTAAGTGTCCCCATTTGATCCACACACAGGAATATAATTTGTATGGCACTGTAAAAGGAAAAATAAATAAATGAATAAAGAAATAAATTGGAAAAAAAGAAATTTCACATCTAGGCATGAATATTCACTTTATTTCACATTCATGAATAAAATAACAGTATTAAGACACAGTTCCACTACTGCATAGCTTGTTCTTTCATTTGGTTTAAAAAAGGGAATTATTCTACTTCTTCACACCTTGTTTTCACAGGCGTAACAGAAATAACACCAACTATCCATTAACAATAAGAATGAAAGTCCCTGCTTAATTTTCTCACTAAAATAACCCATTGACATAAAAGGAAATTCCTGATACGGTTTTCTTTTTTAAAAAAAGATTTATTTATTTTTATTGGAAAGGCAGATATACAGAGAAAAGGAGAGACAGGAACACTTTCCGTCTACTGGGTCACTCCCCAAGCGGCTGCAAAGGCCAGAGCTGAGCTGATTTGAAGCCAGGAGCTAGGAGCTTCTTCCAGGTCTTCCAAGCTGGTACAGGGTCCCAAGACTTGGGGCCATCCTCTACTGCTTTCCAAGGCCACAGACAGGGAGCAGGATGGGAAGTGGTACAGCCAGGACATGAACTTGCACCCATATGGGATCCCGGTACACACAAGGTGAGAACTTTGGCTGCAAGGCTATCATGCCAGGTCCCCTGGTTAGGTTTGTAAAGACTGTTACTTAGGTACTGTCACTGTCATGAAAATTCATTCATTCAATACCTCTAAGATAAACACTATTGAAAATACAAATAAATGTAAGTTCTATTTCAGAGACTGTGAATCTGGTAAGAGTCCTAAATATAATAAAAGCCAATACTGCAAAAACTATATCATATACCAATCAATACCATAGGCAGTAAGTACATTACCTATTATCTATTATTACAATCTACAGTATAGGAATAAACATAGTGTCTATCACCCAGCATTGTAAACTGGAGTATTTAAGAAAAGCCTGATGGGAGTATGAATCAGGATGTGAACAATATGTAAAATACATGAAGAAGAAACAGGCAATACAGATTTCAGAACTGATACATTTAAAACTCTTTAAAGTTTCTACTGGTAAAAAATATATCACAAATGACTCAAGGTTTAAAATCCAGGGAACATGTTACAACAAAAGGAAAAAAACTATATTTATAGCTCAATTTAGAAAAAGGTCTAAAATAAATTCCAAGAAATCCATTCATATCACTTGCCTTCATGTTTGGTAATTTCCATGCTCATGATTTCCCATTTTTCTTTAATGGTCAGGCTTACTTGATGAAGCACTTATAAATGACATGCTACCACAGGCAAGGCACTAGTAAAAACAGCTCATTTGCTTTATATCATCAACACAAACCTACACTAATTTTATTAAAGAAGCTTTTCCATATTCCTCCAGTTTTTCAGGGATCACAAAGTCCTTTATTTTCACCCCCCAAACATACACAGTAACTTCTATGATGTCTGCATCAGTCAACTAGCAAAAGAGACCCTATATCCCAGCATGTCAAATGCTAAGTTTATCAACTTTCCAACCCAAATCTCTTCCCTGAGCAAATGTTTAATAATTTCCTAGTGTTATTCTCTCAGGAAACTCACATTAAGGTGGGGGTTGTGGAACTGCAGGTCAAGACACCTCTGGAAACCCACCCTTCCCACAGCGCAGCGCCTGGCTGCAGTCCTACCTACTCTCCACCTTCCAACTAACACTGCCCGGGAGGGAGCAGATGAGGGCTTAAATAACTGCATTCTTATCACTCACATGGGAGACCAAGAGGAACTGCCAGGCTTCTGACTTTGGCCTTGCGTAGCCTTGGCTGCCGTGGGCCTTTGGAGAATGAACCAGCAGAGGGAAGCAGATGGGAAATCTACCCACCTATCTGTGGCCCCTGCTGTCACTCTGCATTTCAAGTAAATAACTCAAAAAGGAGAGGAGTCAATACCACCGCCAGAAGTACATTCCCTTTCAGAGGCAATTTTTGTTGTCATAATGATAGAATGATGTTACCAAAACTCAACCAATGAATTTCAAGGTCACTGCCTCTATTACGGAAAAAGCACAGTTCAACCTACACAGATGTACACAATTCCTGAATCTCTACACAATGGACCCAGCACAATGGCTCAAGTGGCTAATCCCCTACCTCCAAGCACTTGCATCCCATATGGCCATCAGTTCATGTCCCTGCTGTTCTACTTCCCATCCAACTCCCTGCTTAAGGCCTGGGAAAGCAATGGAGGATGGTCCAAAGCCTTCAGGCTCTGTACCTGTGTGGGAGACCCAGAAGAATCTCTTGGCTCCTGACTTTGGATAAGCTCAACTCTGGCCCTGTGGTCATGTGGGAAATGAACCAGCAGATGGAAGATTTTTCTCTCTCTCTCTCTCCTTTTGTACATCAATTGCATTTCTAATAAAAAGAAATAAACTTTTTTTAAAAAACCTAACATTTGCAAATAACTCTAGTCTATTATAAGTTGTCCTAATATCAGCTACCATGCCTCTACATTTTTGTTTTCATGTGCTTCTGGCATTCAATTCCTTTTGTTTTAATTCAAACCTTCATTTTAAGTACATATAAACATTGTATCACTATGTTTTTAATAAAATCATGCCCAAGCATTTACACTCCAAAATATTTATTATAAATTATTTCACTTTCTGCTTTACACTGCAATTACACATTGTGTTAATCTCTTTAATTATATGTTTGTATAGACTGTATATACCCTTATATTTAAGGGTAGTAAAAGAAATCACCTATAAACTACTGGTTCTTAAAAAGGAGCATTAAGTGAGCAGGTAATATAATCCAGTAGGTAAGATTTCTGTGTCCAAATAAGAGCGACAGGGTTGGATTCATGGCTCCAGCCTCTCGTAAGTGAAAACCCTAACAAGCATCAGTGACAGTACCTGGATTCACGCCGCCCATGCAGGAAATCTGAAATGAGTTCACATCCCAGCCCAGCTATAAGAGTACAAGAGGAGTAAGTACAGGATACAGATAACTGCTTTCTCTCTCTCTCTCTCTCTCTCTCTCTCTCTCTCTCTTTCTCTCTCTCTCACCTCTCAGTTTTGAAAGAGAACACTACGTCTGATGAGGCTAACAATAGGCACTAGACTATAACTTCCCATGTCGCATGTCCTATCTAAAATATCTCACAATCATGACAGGCACAGGGCTTAACATCTAGAACCAACAGGCCTGGGCCCACCACCGCTGGCATTAGGTGGCAGCAGCACAATTTTCTGCATCTGCCCAATGGTACTTGCAATAACACCCACCTAACAACGTTGTCACGACGACTAAATAAGAGAAATCTGCGGTGGGCATCTACATCTGGCCATGATATATTTTTCAATGAACATTAGCTGTTTTTGCTGTTGCTACTATCACTTTTGGGTCTTCAGGATTTAGCCAAAATCACAGCTAATAAAGAGCCACAATTCCTTCCCAATGATATATTTAAAGCGCTGCACCTTTAAATCACACAAGAAAGCCTCAGCCTATGCCATCTGGTACCAAGGAACACTGCACTTCTGTGCCTGAACTACAACCTCACAAGCACATAGGAAGGAATGAGTCTGAGAGGGCAAAGTCCTGCTTTTTCTTGGTCATTATGTTTCCAGGGAATTCTCTTCAAAACCCTTAGATACTACTGGTTAAATTAAGGGGTTTAAGACAATCTTAACATAATGCAATTTTGACCCTGACATTGGTGTTGAAACCTAACTCTAACCTAAGGACCACTTCTTCTGTACAGCCACCCTTGTAAGGGGAAATAACTCTCATACAGCTTTTCTTTAATCAGAAGAACCTAAAGATACTTCCAGGTATTTAAGCCATTTGGAAAGATGCAGTAGTGTATAATTCTGCAGCCACATCAATTCACACACTTACCGTGTACTTGTGTGTGGGGAACTAGGCTGAACACAATATATAACAACAATGAAGGTGTGGTGGCTACCATCAGGTGTCAGCTCGATTCTTGAGTACCCACATTCCTGGATGAACCATCAATTCTGTGTGTGTGTGTGTGTGTGTGTGTGTGTGTGTGTGTGTGCAGCTTCTGAGACGAGACTTTGATTCAGCCACCCAAGGAAAGCATATTACCCTCTCCAAAGCCTAACAGCACAGCCCAATCCACTGATGACCTCAATATGAGGTGGTGGATCCTCATCCCTGGGTGGGTACTGGGACATTGTAGAAAGTCATGACTGGTTTTCCCCTTTGTCTCGCCCCTTCCCCCAATTTCCTAAACCTCGATCCTTCCATCCCTGATCAACCATATAACCATTATAAAATATAAAATTTTTTAAAAAAAGGAAACACAAATTGCACCCCTATGGGATGCCAGTGCCACAGGTGGATGCTTAGGCTACTACACTAGGATGATGGCCCCTTGACTCTTATTTAAAATTCCATTATTGGGCCTGAAGCCCAATCATTCAATTGCTTAATCATCCTACTTCAAGTGCCAGGATTCCATATGGGCGCAAGTTCGAGTCCTGGTTGCTCTACTTCCCATCCAGTTCTCTGCTGTGGCCTTGGAAAGTAGTCAAGGACTGCCCAAAGCCTTGGGACCCTGCACCCACATGGGAGACCCAGAGGAAGCTCCTGGCTCCTGGCTTTGGACAGACTCAGCTCTGGCCACTGTGACCATTTACACCAGTGAAACAGCAGATGAAAGATCTTCCTTTCTCTCTCCATCTCTGCCTTCCAATAAAAACAAAGAAATCTTTAAAAAATTAATAACAAAAAATAATTTTAAAGGAGAAAAAAAACAAACCTAGGGGACACATGTCTTTGACCTACAGACCCAGATGCCACTGAGAACACCAGCATGCCATGCTAGAGTTCTTGGACTTCTGTCTCCATCGGTTCACAATTCCAGCTTCCTGCTAATACAGAGTCAGGAAGCACCAGGTGATGGTGTCACCAGGTGATGGCGTGGGTACCTGATACCAATGTGGGAGATCCAGTCGAGCTTCAGCGTGGCTCAATCCTGGCTGCTACAGACATTTGAAAAATGAACTAGTGAATGGAGGATCTATCTGCATCTATCTCCTCTCTTTCTTTCACTCTCTTTCAAGTAAACAACAGTAAATTAAAAAAAAATTTTTTTTTTAAAGAAACAAGGATCAGGGTTTGCACTTTGGTGCAGCAGCTTGTGCCTCAGACTGTGACACCAACATCCTGTATGGCCACCCAACTGCTCCACTTGCAATCCAGCTCTTGCTGAAGCACATGGGAAGGCAGCGGATGGTGCCATGTCTCTGGGCCCCCAACACCAACATGGGAGGCCAGAAAGAAGCTCTGGCTCCTAGCTTCAGGGTGGCCCAGCCCAGTCATTGGGACCAACTGGAGAGTTAACCAATGGAAAACAGTTCTCTTTGTCTCTCCTCTCTTTCTCCCTGTCATTCTACCATTTGAATAAATACATCTTTAAAGAAAGAAAAAGAAACCAGAAATACAGAACTCTTTAAAATACAGAATTCTTTTTTTTTTTGTAATCTATGTAACTTAAAATAAAACAATCTCTAAGGTAAGCACTATTAATAGAATATATACTTAAGAAGGGAATTAAAACACATGTGTTTGTAACTGCACAGAACGTTTCTAGCAGAAAATATATGAGGTAACAGATGTTGCCTCTGAGAAAAGCCATTTGTAGTCTGGACTGAAAGGAAGACAGCTTTCTGTTGCAAATATATCTTCCTGTACAGTTCAAGTTGTTTACTGAAGGCATATCTCTTCTTAAAAACACATTAGAACAGTAGGCTCTCATGAGGCTTGATGAATTAATGGACACGGAATGCTCGGCACAGTGAGCAATAGAAAAGTACTCAAACATGATACTGAATATAGTGTGTACATACATATATGCCTTTACATATCAACATAACCAAGAAAGGACTCAAAAAAATAAGCAGAAATATGAGCAATGGTCAATAAATATTTTCAACCAGACAAATAATCAAGAGCAGATAAAAACATCTCTGCTTTTCAAATTTACAAAATTTAGAAAGATTGACAAAATATTTTATAGAGATGCAGAGTCCGGTAAACACAGGGCTGTTGGTGAGAATGTCAATTTGCCCGATTATTCCCTATGCAATACTGAAGACAGTTGGAAGGCCGGCTCATTCTGGGTGGCTAAGTCACCTATTAAAAAAAAAAGGAAGGAAAGAAGGAAGGAAGGAAGGAAGGAAAGAAGGGAGGGAGGGAGGGAGGGAGGGAGGAAGGAAGAAAACTCGCCATTCTTCTGGGCTGACAAATAAGAGGATTGGACATAGAGTAAACCACCAGGAAGGGAGAGGGAAATCTCAGAAAGAAAGCATCACCCAGGAGTCCCGGGTTGCAAATGTAAACAAAGCTAACTTCAAGCTGACCCGCGAACCATACATGAGGCAGACTCTGAGTAGTCCCACTAAGGCGAAAAGAAAGAAACTGCTGGTCGTATGGCTGCCACCATAGTAAAGACAGAATCTACAATCTGAGATTAGTCAACTGAAGTATATAAAAATAACTATTCCCTTCAAAGGAATAAAACAGAATGCAGATACTGTAAAACACATCATTCACAACATTGCATGAATCAAAATTATTCTGCCCTACAGAAATGTAAAAACACAAACAAAGAATAGGGAGAATTCTTGACACCCGTATGCCATGACACTGGTAAAGGTTTTAAACCATCAACAATATCTGTGCTCAAAAAAAAAATTATTGTTATGACTGAACAATAAAAAAAACAGGAAAACTCAGCCAACAGACAAATTACAAATTCTAAAAACAGGGCACAGTGCAGTACCCTAGCAGCTAAGGTCCTCACCTTGCACGCCCGGGATCCCATATGGCTGCAGGTTCTAACCCTGGCAGCCCTGCTTCCCATCCAGCTCCCTGCCTGTGGCCCGGGAAAGCAGTCAAGGACGACCCAAAGCCTTGGGACCCTGTACCCACATGGGAGACCCAGAGCTCCTGGCTTCAGAGCAGCGCAGCTCCAACCACTGCGGCTGCTTGAGGAGTGAATCATCAGGTGGAAGATCTTCCTCTGTCTCTGCTCCTCGCTGTATATCTGCCTTTCCAATAAAAATAAATAAATCTTTTTAAGAAATTATAGAAACAAAAAAATCTGAGATTAGAAACTTTCCAGTCAAGAACAGAAGAAATAACAGAAGTTTAGTGAACTCAAAAGATAGATCAGTAGAAATTCACCACTAGGAAGAACAGAAAGAAAACGAACATACCCTGAGGGACCCGAGGCCTTCACCAGCCTAACATTGAAGTCCCAGAAGTCAGAAGCAATCATTATTACAATGTGCACTAGAAAAAACGACCAAACCGTTCCTAATCTTAATGAACAACCGTCATAGATGTCAGAAACTCAACCAACTCTGAGCAAAATAAATGAAAACAAAAATATACCGAAGCACTTAACACTGCTGTAAAAAAAAAAAAGTAAGGACAAAATGTCGAAATCAGAGTAAAACAACCCATTACAACCAGCGGCAAACCAGTTTAAAGTCCCAACTGACTTTTCACCTCATTCTGCCCAAAACTAACTTCCACGCTGCACACAGCCCTGTTGGGAGACACTCAGCGCAGCACGGGCACAGCCAGCGCCTGTCAGAAGCCAGCTGCAAGCCACCAACAAGCTCGGCGAAAGATGGCTACTGCGAACAGGATCAGCAGAAAGCCCCCAAAGCATTAAATCCCTCTTCAATGATAAAGAAACTGACTGGCTAAACAATAGTATACCCACCTACCTGCTCTGCTCTCTAAACTCTTCAAAAAATATACATAATGACTGGTTTTCAAAGAGATTTATAGGCAAGCTCTCCTTCCAATTTTGGCTCTAATTATAGTATCATAAAAAGATTTAAAAAAACAGGCTATCTCTTTTCAGATGCAACACAAACACAGATAAAATTACTAAGCTTACATAGAAATCTGCCTAGAGCTGTACGGTCACCTATGTTTTTGTTGCTGATTTTTGAACCCTTTCTTCTCCTCAAAATCTAAAATAGTGGGTAGGTTCAGCACAGGATCATGAGTGAAGGGCCCAGCGCGGTAGCCTAGCAGCTAAAGTCCCCCCACCCTGCACATGCTGGAATCCTATATCGGCATGCAGGCTCATGTCCCAGCGGCCCCACTTCCCAACCAGCTCCCTGCTTGTGGCCTGGGAAAGCAGTCAAGGATTACCCAAAGCCTTGGGACCCTGCACCTGTGTGGGAGACCTGGAAGGGGTTCCTGGTTCCTGGCTTCAGATCAGGACAGCACTGGCCGTTGCAGTCACTTGGGGAGTGAATCATCAGACGGAAGATCTTCCTCTCTGTCTCTCCTCTTCTCTGTATATCTGACTTTCTGATAAAAGTTTTAAAAAAAAATTTTAAAGAGATAGAAAAAAAAAGATTGTGAGTGAGAGAAGTTCTAGTTCCTTTCTTGGTTCTCATCTCAAATCCTGACTCAGGAATCAACTTATAGGAAACATAATAAAAACCTCATTATAATTTGATCACAGAAAAAAAAAATTAAAGCACGGGATGGAAGCACACACTTCCTTCCCAACTTTTTTAGCTTATGGACTCACCAAGAAGCAAGAAGACTGACACTCTCAGTCTGAAACTCCATCTCTTGGTCCCCGACTAACAATGGCTGCTACCCTTAGGCTTCAAGTCAGCCATGTACTTTTGTGAAGAAAGTAGCATAGGGAGGGGACAGGGTGCCAACTTGCACCCAGAACAAACTGATTAAGAGAAATAAACTTGCAGAGGTGGCCAACTGTCAGCAAGCAGATGACAGCAGCCTGGTCCTTCAGCAGGCCAAGGACTTTAGTAGCTTAGGGAGTTTGGGGAGTTTGGAGGGGAGGGTAGAGCTGAGAAAGCTTTTCAGACTCAGTGGACCTTCCCCTCACCAGGCCAGGGAGTTGGACAGGAATGCAGGGCGTGGGATGGGGCACAGTTCAAGGCAGGGGTTGGACTGGCTAAGCAAACATAGGGCAAGAGCCTCTGGGGAGAGTAGATCTGTTTACAGTCTGGGAGCCCTAACAGGTGAGAGATGAAAATGATTGAGGCTTACCTGCTCCATCAACCCTGGCCTGATGACATGAGGCGGAAGGGAAACTGGCAGACCAGCCCAAGAAAAGGGGAAATGACACCAACATTTTACAGGAGGGCTCTACTCCAACCAGTACTGTATTTCGTTTGTCACAATTATTATCATTTAACATTTCTATACAACATTAATATTTTTCTCAAGTATTTTTAAATGTACTATTTCCAATTTATCCTAACTCCAGGAAAGAAACAACGAAAGGACTCCATCTGACAAAAAAAAAAAAAAAAGGAATTGGTGGGCTGCAAATTCAACTTCCTTTAAAAGATTTGAGGTATTTAAAGCTGTGTAATTTGAAGAATTCAGAAATTAGATGCATAAGAAATTTTTACAGAAAAAAAAAATAGGTTTTGTTTCCTCACCTGAAACTGGCATGCACATTTCAAACCATCTCCATCTTCCTTACACACTCCTCCATATTTACACGAGGATTCATCACAGGCTCTGACATCAGACTCCCTCACATTTAGTTCTGCAAAAGAGAAAAAAATCATTCCAAATACGTATATGGCCTTTTACTCAGTGAGTGTGTACATATGTGTGAGACAGAAAAATCCTTAAAATATGAGCATCCCATTCTCAAGCACAATAATTAGACATTGCACAAAAACTAAGTTCCATAGGACACAAAATGCTCTGTATTTCCCCAAAGAGAATCCGACGTAATAAGAAGCCTGAAATAACCCTCACCACAACACAACTCAAAACCTTGGATCTAACATAATTCCCAAAGGTGAACACACATGGAATGTCTCTATTTTAGCCTGTCAAGATCTTAAGAGAATTTTCTAGCTGTTCTCTTAACTTTAGGTTATTTTTCTGAGTAACTTTCTTTGAAGGGTAGCAAAAATAACTATGAAGAAATCAGAATTTCGGAGGCACTAAGAATAAATTTTACGTGACTATCCATTAAACATATATTTTAATTGCAAAATAATTATAATATGAACTTGAGTCTCGGTCAACAGATGCATGTGGAACATTTACACATACAGAATTAAACTCAACATCTTACTAGACTTGAAACATTTACGACTGATTTACCCTACCACCTCAGTCTAGCTAATTAATACCAGCATTTACTTTCTTCCTGCTGTTAGACTGCCAGCCTTGCTTTGGAAGCCATCACTTTGGGCTTTCTCAGGAACCGAATAAATTGTTTAAAGGTAAGTAAAGCTTCCAGTCATGTGAAATGGGGTGAAAATCACAGCAAAGCAATTTTTACAATACCTAGCTGGGAAGGAAAACTTGACAACAAATGCACTTTGCAAACAACAAGCAAATGACTGTGTTTAAAAAAGAGGAAGAAGATTCCAGTGACGCACAGGACATGGAGTGTGGGAGCAGAGAGCCTGCATTCACAGCAGCAGCGTGGTGCTGGGAAGAGCTTGGGATCTCCTACACCCCCCAGATCACAGGATTGTGACAGATCTCGGGGAGCACACCTCGTCAGCAACCCCCATCCCCAGTTTCTTTCTAAATTACAAAGCACACAAGACCCAGAAGACTGAATCAAGAAGGTTCTAGTGACATCTATCCTAAGGCATTTCACCGTCCTCTCGGGCCCATGTGTTCTCCTGGTTTTGTGGTGGTGGCCTGAGCTGGCAGTCAAAGTACCTGAAAACCCCAAGAGTTATTCACCAGCTGTGTTTATTGAGTAACGGCTCTGAACTCAACACTGCACTAAAGCAAGCGTACCTCTGTGTAACTACAGGTTACACAATGCTTCCTTTTCTCAAACAGATCTCAGGTACAAATAGCTGGATTATTCTAAAGTTGAAAAAAACCTTTACACAAAAATAGAAGCAGGCATTGTGGCGCAGTATTTGAAGCTGGCACATGGGACGTTCCCATCCCATCTCAGAGTGCTACTGCTTCAAGTCCCAGCTGCTCTGCTTCCAGTCCTGCTTCCTGCTAATCCACCTGGGAGAGAGCAGATGATGGTCCTCGCACCTGGGTCCCTTCCACCCACGACAGACCTGAACAGAGGAGTCCAAGTCTCCTGGTTTCAACCCAGCTCAGCACCAGCTGTTGCAGACATTTAGGGAGTCAACCTGCACTCAGAAGATCTTTCCTTTCTGTCTTTCAGGTAAACAATTAAAATCTTAACAAAAAAAGGGGGGTGGGGGGGCCTTAGGGGACAGCTGTTTTAGCACAGGCACTTGCAATGCAGGCATCCTGCCTAAGAGTGCTAGGGTTCAAGTTCTGGATTCTGTGCTTCCAACCCAGATTCCTGCTGACACAGCTGATGATGCCCTGGCACCTAGTGGGAAACTGTGCTAAGAGTTCCTGGCTCCTGGCTTCTTCCAGGACCTGACTGCTAACGCCAACTGCAGAGAGAACCAGTAGATGGAAGGTTTCATTCTTTCTTGCACACTCGCGTTTTCTCTCTCCCCACTACCCCTTCAAATAAACAAATCTCTCTCTCTCTCTCTCCCCATACAGATGTATATATATGAGAAAAACAGAGACTTGACATGAGCAAACTAACACAGCTGCTTCATTACTCTGTTCACAAACTATTTCAGGTATAGAAGTCCATCTTTCTAATTCCTTGTAACCCTGGATATGCCCTGATGTTCCTGGTGTTTCTTTATTCCCAATTTTTGCTCACCCTTCAATTTACCCCCTTGACCATTTGCTTTGACTTAAGGCTCAATCCTAGGAGTATAGGTTTTTTTCGGTTAGATTTTGCATATTTTTGTCCTATTTACACTTCTGCTAGAAACTCAAGCCAAGGTCCAGTTTCATACCCTGCAAGCATGCATCTTCAGACTCAAGGAAAGTAACATTAATAAAAAATTTCTCTAAAGAGACAGCTATCCATAGTATCTTTGCTCAACTACAGGCCTCATCAGCTTAAGGGCCACAGAAGACAGACTTGCATATTGGTTCATGACATTTAGAGCATTTCTCTTCCTGATTTTCTTGGCACGCTTATTAAAGTTCATACCGGATTCTATTACAATCCATAATACAATAAAATAAGTAAACATTTTATTTTGTCTGTGGGTCAACATTGTGCTCTGAATAGCAATTAACAAACTGGAAAGGAAGGGAGGGAAGAGAATTGAGTAATTTAATACAGCAGGATAGAAGTAATGGGCTCCAGTGTTCCACAGCGCAGTGGGGTGACTACAGCTCAGAACGACATGAAGAACTTGAGGAGAGGATCCGGTAAGCTCCAAACACGAAGGAAAGATGAGGAGGTGAGGATGCTGACTGATTTGTTAAGTTTATACCGTGTCCAGCACTGACATGTTGGATGTCATGTGCACCATGAAAGCATACAAATATGACACACTCATTAAAAAAAAGTCTAGACACAGTAAAATTCAGATCCTGATCAGAGTCTGAGTTATACTTGCTACTTTGGCTTGAGATTCTTTTGAGTCGTAAGATGTCTCGACTATTGTATTTTTTTTTATTGGAAAGGCGGATATACAGAGAGGAGAGACAGAGAGGAAGATCTTCCGTCCGATGATTCACTCCCCAAGTGAGCACAACAGCCGATGCTATGCCGATCCGAAGCCAGGAGCCTCTTCCGGGTCTCCCACGCGGGTGCAGGTTCCCAAAGCTTTGGGCCGTCCTCGACTGCTTTCCCAGGCCATAGGCAGGGAGCTGGAAGGGAAGCGGGGCTGCCAGGATTAGAACCGGCACCCATATGGGAACCCCGGGCGTGCAAGGCGAGGACCTTAACCACTGCGCCATCACGCAGGGCCCAGACTATTGTATTTTATACTACAGTGCAGGGGACGTTAGAACTTAAACCATTCCTGCCACTAGGACTCCCACGTTTGGTGTCCACGTTGTCTAGATAGCTCTATGCAGGAGGGACTATGCCATTTTTTAGGAGAAAAAAATCATACTCATCAAAGTGAGGCAGAAAAGCTTGGTCCGATACATATACGAGGCATGACCTCAAGCACAACACAACATCTGCTCAATGAATTGGCCCCCAGCTCACCTCCCAAGAATTCACCATGAAGAGACAGAAGGGCTATGACAAGACACTGAATTGGAAGGCTTTCAAGAAAAAAAAAACTCTGTATGCCGACAAGATTCAGAAAGGACTCCACTTTGATGCTCTCATGACAAGATGTAAGAGAAGGGGATGAAACGGCCTGGGCACCTTCCCAGCCCCTCCGCAGCAGCAGGATACCTGGCAAGGAAGCCTAAGATCAGGCAAGGAGCTACACCTTTGATATACGCTGAGAGGGACCAAGGCACACCTGCAGCAAACAGCACAGGAAGAAAGGAACAAGAACCACATGAGAGTAGATGGAATATATTAGTGAGCCCACGAGAAACACTCTTTGACTCCTAGAATGAACTTGGGAGGGAGGCATGTATGCGGGAGCTAGAAGTTCTATAATAATGGGTAAAGGATAAAAGTCATGAAATTCTGATTTCTCTGGCTGTTAGTCATATTTTATTTTATGCCTAGCTTGCTAAATACCTTTATGCGCTAATGTGTTAAATGTGATTATTTGGTTGATTATAACAGACTTATTCACCACCTACTAGGCACCTATTATGACACTAAGAATTCAGGACAAGAAAAAAATACCTTACACGGAGTTTAGGATTTTGCATATAGAACAATCAGTGGTGAATGCAACATACAGTTTATGATTGATTACTCTAGGAATTTCAATAAATAATGAAATTAAAAATGAATGTGAAAGAATAGGCTTATAGCCTAGCAGATACCTGGATTCGATTCTCAGTTCTGGCTCCTGACTCCAACATCCTGTCAATGCGGACCCCTGGGGACAGCAGGGATGACTCAACACACACGTGGAGGACTTGGACCATGTTCCCAGATCACATCTTCAATTTCAGCCCACACCCAGCGAAGGGAAGCATCCGAAGCGCAACCCAGCAACAGCAGTTCTATGTGTGTGTATGTCTTACCTGTCCACCTGTCCACCTCACCTCCTCTCTTAAAACAAGAGGAAATGAACACAACAGTTTTGTCTTAAAAAAGAGCAGGAGGCATTGTGGCACAGTCAGGTTAAGCCACCACTTGGGATGCCTACAAACAAGTAAGTAAAGAAATCTTTTTAAAATTAAGATGAAAAGCAATGGGTTTGAAACATAGGTTGCAATGTTAAGAGGAAAACTTGTATGGACATTGAAAAATTAATAAAGCTTTATTCTAATATTAAAATCAGTTTTGGGGCATTATAAAGAATTTGGAAGACACTTAAAAGAATGTTTTAGGGCCTGGCAATGAGAGCATAGTGGTTAAAGTCCTCGCCTTGCACACCCACGATCCCATATGGGCACCCGGTGGCCCTGCTTCCCATCCAACTCCCTGCTTGTGGTCTGGGAAAGCAGTCAAGGATGGCCCAAAGACTTGGGACCCTGCACCCGTGTGGGAGACGCAGAAGAGCTCCTGGCTCCTGGTTTCGGATTGGCTCAGCTCCAACCATTGCAGTCACTTGGGGAGTGAACCACTGGACGGAA